TAAAAAAAAAAAAAAAAAAAAAAAAAAAAAAAAAAAAAAAAAAGCCATCATTTGAGGTCCTAAGAGAGATGACTTAAACCATCCAATCAGCAACCAGATCGCAACCACTGCAGAATGGAGGCCCGTGACACAGAAGCCAGGGACTGACTGAGCTTCCTTACACAGCCAGTAAGGAACAAAGCAAATGCAGGCGAGCTGAGGCAGGACGACTTTCCTTTTGTAAAGAAGCTGCTCAATCTATCACCCAAGGCACAAAACATCTAGTCACACAGAGCTGAGACTAATCCTGCAACAACACACAAGCCCCTGCCCAACCCTTCCAGTGTGAGCTGCTCTTTTATTAGCCCAAGATAATAAATATCAAAAGATAGCTACCAATTTCTCACTCAACTTTCCTTATTTTGTAACAAACATTAGACTTTAAGAAAGCTCTAAGCACATAGAGCACATTGCCAGCATCCTTTAAACTTGACTTCCAGGTTCTATTCTTCTTTAATAGAACTCTTCAGCCACCCCCTCCCACAACAACAAAACAAACCCCAACACACACACACACACACACACACACACACATACACACACACACACCCCTGCTTCATTTTCCTCCATCTATACTGGCAGTCCTGCATAGTTCCAGTCACACATGAGAAGAGCCATTCAGCTTACTGTGACTGATCAGTTGCCCTCCAGCCCATCACCCCATTCACTCAGATCCCCAGCCCACCCCACGTACTCGAGAACGCACTCATATACACTCACTCTCAGCCTCCAAGTGTGATTGAGATGGTGTGATAACTACCTCGGGTGACAGGGACTCGGGCCTATGCGCAGGGGAACTCTCAGGGGAGGATATGTTCTAGAGGAGGGAAAAGCATCTTGTTATTCATCTACTCGAAGTCAAGAAGCAAAACAAAACAAACAAAAAAAAAAATAAAAGCAAGCAGATGTTAGCCACAACTTTTTCTGGGGTGTTGGGGATTGGGTAAGAATGCATAGGGAAATGTTTATCTGCAGCACTCATCTCAATGGACAGAATGACTTGTTAAAATGCTTCCTAGCTTTGAAAGCATTTAAGGATAAACTGGTTATCATGTTTCATGCTATAAGTAAACATCTCAAGCACTTATTAGAAAAGAATTAGATTGGTGAAACTTGAGCGTTATTTTTTTTGTATTTTAGACAAGCGTTTAGTAACTTACAGTATTTGCTATTGAGGGGCATCCTATCCCTATTTCTCCTTGAGAAACCTTGTTTCTTCACCCCAGGCCTTTTGACCATCACATTTCCTTGTTCTCTTTTAGGCCTCAGGCCCACCTTTATTCAGGGAAACACCTTAACATGCTGGAGTGTGTGCGCTGACAAAACCAGGGAGGTGATAGTTCCTCTTGAATGACAGTGACAAGAAATGTGACTAATGTAGTCCCTTGTTCTTGGCATAACCTAGTTGGACCTGAGCACGCAGTAACGCTTTTTTGGTTAAAATCCATTGCACTTTTGAGAACAGAGCAAAAAAAGTATGTTATGTGTACATTTGGAGACCCTGCGTTCTACACAGGATGAGACTTGTACCTGAGGCAGCACGCCCATAAAAAACGGTGACTGGGCAGTATGTGCTTTTTAAGAAAACGTAAATAGGAATATGTGGAAAATGATGGTGGTAATGTGTAAGGATTCAGGGCCCACGGGCTCAGCTAGGAAAGGCCTCCTGGGTTGCAGGCCTGTGCTGTGGTAGGGGAAATAGGGCTGAAGGCAGTGGCTGTAAGTTTTTCCCAGCAGGAAGGGTGGGTGGTGTTCATGTGTGCAAGATGGAGGGGAGAGTATAGCTCTCAAGGTGGGAAGAGGATGGAAGGGGATTCTGGTACAAAGGAGAGGTTAATGTGGTCTGCCTCTCTATGTTACTCTTGCTGCTTTTTTAGATGCTTTCCTCTCCTGAAGATTTAGATTTTTTCCCATTACTTGTCTCACTTCCTACCATCAGCACTGGCAATTTCTCACCTTTCTTCTGATGCTTCAGCCCTTTTAAAAAATATCCTACCCCGGGAACCAGCAGTTAGCGTAATGGCTATGTCGCTGGACTCCCACGTAGTCAACCATGGTTCGTGTCCTGGACCCGGTGGCTTAAAACTCACGCCGGGTGCGTGTGCGTGCGTGCCCAAGATCCCAAGAGGAGAATGGAGGAGAAGGGATTGCGGCGTGACCATCCCCCTGGGGGGGTGATTTCTCTCTTTCTGTCTCTATGTCTCTGTCTGTCTGGCGAGCGCACGCGGCGTAGTGAAAATCTCTCTCTCTCTCTCTCAAAAAAAAAAAAAAAAAAAACCCCCCCCCAAACAAAGCTGGGGTC